TTGTGACGGTGTGTTATTAACACAAAGTGTAGGCGCCTTGACCTTAAATGTTTGATTAGAGAATTAAGGTTTTCAGATAAGTCCCGCTTCCCTCCCGCTTATTATTCTTTATTCCATAGGTCAGCATGGCTGTATGACAGCGAAGCATCAGTTCAAATAGCTGATGTACTGCTGTTGTTGTTTGTTTGTTGATAACTTACAATTCAGAGTAATAACCTTGCTAAAATTTCGATGTTCATGCTTTATGGATTCTTATCACTAGTTCCTCTTAAAACGTGATTCATAAGACGTGACAATGATCATTAACAACTGTTACTTTTGTTTGTCTGTGGACTGGTGCATTTTATCTACTAACTATGTCCACTAGATTTATGCTTAACACTGGTATATGCCGTGCCTCTTTCGAACCACTATTTATGCCTATCGGCTTTTGTGTTTTGCGTACATCAAGTTACGAGACATAAACCATTTTAGCTTGATGTACGGTATTAGTTTGCAATGCAAAGTTTAATAATTTAAAGGGCATCATAAAAATTTTATAAATCATGCTTTCAGGGAATAGTATCATGCTTTTAGGACTACAATAACCGTTGGTAACTATCTAGAGAACAGTTAGCAAAACTGCTTCTCTATATTTATAACAGACAAGTATGAAAAATTCATATGTTAGATCCATTTTATGTATGTTCCTTGTGTTAAACAGTGGTAAAAGCATGAATCGGTTAAGGCGCACTTGGATGCTACGTACTGAAATCCGTCTCAAAAAGACTAGACCTCAGCGTATTTCGACTTCAACCGATTGTGCTATATTGAGTGGTGCTCCCCGAGCTTTTCGCGAGTTACTCCCACAAGGTTCATCAAAAGCCAGAGGTGGACAACTTCAGTCTTCTGATGATTCCGTATATGGGTGTTTGTTATTATAGCATTAACTTTTTGCCCACTCCACGATGCTTTATGAATAGGCATTCAAGCTGAGGACTTTGGATTAGGACCCCAACAAAAACCCCTGTCTAGATTTGAACGCACTGGTGGTATCTTAGCCTGATTAAAACCATGGGGACTTTGGCAAACTTTAATCATATTTTTCATCGGCTGTCGCGCAGGTATACAAGGGTCACTTTATCTGCTACATACAGCAGGGCGCATAAGGGCAATTACCCCTGCTGGCGCCTCCCTTCTCTTTTTTCCTCTTGCGTTTACTCGCTTCCTGACCGCAAATCCTAGTTTGTGCTGCAATCCCAAGGTTAATAGACAGCAGCTGCACTGCCACTGCAGTTGTACCATCTGCAGATATTTCCTCACACTATTCACTTTACGTTCATCGGCACTAGTCCCATAAAAGAAAGCTGTTCCATTTCTGTGACAGCATTCGACGTTCGCACTGTAAGATAAATAGGTCAACCGGCTGTATTCTCACACATGTTCGACACCCTTACTATTTACGTGCATTGCCATCCGAAACATAAAATCCATGGGACACATTGTTGCCGAAATAACTGCGCCTGGATTGAGCTCACGCCATTGGTTGCACACATCCACAGCAATGCCCATTGGTCCATTTTGTTCATATTTGTCATGGCTTTATCATGAAATATATTTCTTTGAATCTCACGATGTATGTATCGCATTAGCGTTGAAGTGGGAACTTGTAACTATGCATTACGCGGACGGTATTGCCGTACTGTGACGGCCGTGATTCGGGTCAGTTAAACCTGGACCAATTCACCCTAGTGACCTCATCCTTTGATATGTGCTTCACAGCTTAAAGCCCAGGCTCACCTGACCATCGGTGATCTGTTGACCATTACTAGCGAGAAACTCGAAGTAGTTGATCAATCCACTTACCTTGGCAGCTGTATCAGCAAACACGGGCGCATAACCAATAAAGTCAGTCCACATATTGCGAAAGACGATAACTGCCTTCCTGTACGTGCAATAACTGTATTGTCAGAAGTGTAGTGGCACAGTGAAGACCGTCCTACTGTATGGGATGAAGACTTAACCTTTTACGCCTTTTACACCATGACTATGACTGCATGTTAAACATTGTTTGTGTCGGATGGAACCAGTGTGTCCGCACTGACAGTAAGCTCGGGCCAGTTTTAGTCAGTGATAGCAAGGCTAATTCTTCGCTATCACTGCTAGCACTGAATACTTTGCGTTAGCTTGTGCATGTACATTGTATGTCCGGTCACCGCTTACCGAGAAGCGCCTTGTTTTATTTGCAGAACGTAGAGTGGCTCAAGGCTCGTGATGGGCACACGTTAACTTGACAGCTGGAAATAAAGCAACTGACGACCAAACTGGGTGCTATTGGTCCGTTCGTTTGAATCCCATGGTTTCTGATGGCATTATGTCTGTTAGCAGACGTTTGCAAATATATATATATATAAATATATATATTGGTCCGTCTCGCCTTCCAGACTGGTGTCCACATGACCTGCCTTGGGCTTGCTTCCAGATATAACAATATCTGGCTTGCATTCCGCATCAGCGACGTGTTTGCTGTCATCTCCAAGTCAGACCATCTGTCCAAATTGTGTCTGTCGCTAATGTATGTGCGGCGTAATGGCGGATTATTGTGCGACGCGGTGAAAACCGCAAGGAAGCTGTTTTAGCGATACCGCCTTATCTTTGTCTGGTGGTGAGTTGTTTGAGACGGTATGTTGTTGCCAAGATGTACCCGCCTTGCCCCTGGAAGTTTGATCAGGGCATTATAATTTTACACTAGATCCTCTTTTCTCCCCGTTATTATCCTTCCTTCCTTAGGTCATGGTGGTTGTACGGCAGTGAAGCTTCAGATCAAATGGCTGATATTCTGTCGTTATTGACTTTTGTTTTAGGCTCACCATGGAGGGAACTTTAAACAAGTTTTATTAGGTTCATCTAGGTTTTACTAGAGATACGATCCTTGAGCTTACGCTGTGGGAGGGTCTTTGAATTGACCTTTGCCGCTCTCCCCGAAACATCTCTTTGTGCACATTCTTCGAACGTATAAATTTTGTTTGAACCTATTTTAGAATTCTTTGGACGAACTGTTTCAAGGTGACTGAGGCCGCTCTATTCCACCGCTTATTTGAAAAGTTAGCCTAGACAACGCGTATAACTCCCAGTCTGCTAATTTTTCTAAATGAAAAGAGCTCTCTATGAACGTTTTAACAGTACTCCAATCGGACATAAAAGCTTATAACTTTTTCTATTAGTATATGATCGGTACGCAAATATGCCGGACTATTCAAGTGACATCTGTGCACCCATTTCCTATTCTGTTTTTACACATGTAAAATTCCTGTACTTTGTGATGCTGTTTTATCACATTTGTGGTATCTAATGTAAAATGCTGGTAATGCACCCATCTGGTCACGTAAAGCTTATCTTCACGACTTAACAACAAATACAGGTTTTTATTGTCTAACACAGATGGTCTAGCGTGTAACCGTGTTGCTTTGCAACTGCCGGAAGCGTACCATCTGATATCTTAAATTGGTTGATGTACTCTCTTGCTGGCGCAGACTACAACGTGAGCAGTTTAGCCTTTATTCATTCAGGGGTATCGATTATCAATGTACTTGTGGTTTGCATTCCTCAATAGCCAATGCCTCTTTGTTCATAGGCTTTGCATGTTATCAGAAACGGGAAACAGAATAGTCCTCAGTATTCCTAAACAACTTCCAACGCGAAACATGCAGACAAGTAGGATTTTACGCTTGCAATGCTTGGGAAGTCTAAATGTTATTGGTAGCATGATCTTGTGCGTTGGTGCTGGGTATTCGCTGGTAAATAGAAGAAGCGAACGTCCAGTGAGGAAGTTACAACGCCTTAGTCATTTTCATCAAGCAGATATGTTCATCACGAACCAGTACTGGAAAGTTAAGTACTTGGGAGATGGTATGCTTTATGTTTCTCCCAGTCATTTTTATATCGTCCGATAGGTAGCTTATAAAGATAGAATTTCGCCATGCCACTTTAAACTGAGTAAGGTTCCTGTTTGTTTATCCATAAACTGTCTCTAAATCCCTTTACGACGTCGCGGGTATGACTGCCCACCAAATAACGTCACTGGTTTTTGCGCTCCTAAAACGATCTTATCAAACCTGCGGACGTCGTTTATCTACCTCGCATAATTTCTTTGACTTTTTCGCTCTCTGACGATCCCACAGAACACAATCACAAATACAGCAGCACATCTACAAATATAAACAGCACCCCTACATACACATACCTTCATGCAACGTAAATTCACTGTTGCCGGTAAACTTGTGATGTTGTGTACAGTTACCGATTATTCGTGTAGCTTTACCTTGATCATTCCTACGAAGGCGTGCCTCGCGTTGTGGCGAATAGCTCTTTGCTTATAGGCAATTCGTCATACGTAAACGTCATAGGGCAACTGAAAAATCGAAAAGTCCAAAAACTCCTCAGTGTATGGAAGAAATGGTCGCTTCAATGTTTGAATGGCTATTCTCACAGATAGCTTGTAGCGATATCAACTGCTTTCCAAATCAGGACACAAATATACCTTACTTTTATACCATATAAGGCTACAACGGTTTTACTGTGGAAGTAATAAAACCGTACATTAGAATAGCAATTTAGTCAAATTGTGGCTCCACTATGCTAACTTTTAGGCTTCCTCTTTTGTACGATTGTTACATGCCTTCTCAGTATGCCACGTGTTATACCAAATCGGATGCCGTGACTATTTCTGTATTTGGAGGGCTAAATGAATTGCGGAAGGAAGTACGCCAGCACTCACCAAATGCAGAGATGTGCTTCCGTTACATCACAACCCGTGGCGTTGTTTGGTCTGGTATTCAATGCATGATTATGAATTTAAACTGAAAACACGCATAATGACAACGTTCTGTACCTCTACCCAGAATTTTGTTTTTCTCCTTTGTACGCAATACTCATGGTTATTTTCTAGGCTCTTCTTAACAGGAATTCACATTTACATGTTCACATGTTTTCTTAATTTCATCCTCACCATACCCATCCAGGACAATAACCTTGTGAGACACTTGGATGCGTGCGAAACCATGGGCAACGCTACTGCCATCTGCTCCGACAAAACAGGTACTCTGACCACAAATCGCATGACCGTGGTTCAGTGCTGTTTCGGTGGAAAATTCATTCAAAAAGAAGATCAGCTTCCAAAATTAAAGGATTTGCATCACCTCACAGGACGCCGGCTAACTCATGCAGTAGCCATTAACAGCAGTTACACCTCAAGAGTCACGGTGAGCCTTGTACATATACGACTGTCTGGTCCAGTCATCCAACTAGGATGGCTTCGTTTGACTTTACTTGAGCAGATCACTCAAACCTCTACCAGTTGACGCAACATGAATATTGATCTGTGGTGCTATACCAAACATCCGCATTATAAACAAAGTCCAATGGATCCCTCATAAAGGTTTACTTTGCCCAGGTGATATGCTTTTATTGTAATTCATCAGGTTTCCCATGATGTAGTTGCGAGCTTATGCGTAAAGAAACTGTCACCGGAGTTATTCGTCAAAGAGGATTTGAACACGGTTGTTGAGCTGTGATGACCATGTAACCTGTCGGGTCTACCATCGTCTGTTCCGTACTGACCAATAGTTTTGAATTGTTCTTAAAATTTTAGACACCGATGCAAACCTGTGCGGCCTTCTTAGTAAGGAATAGCAAAATGAAATCACGAACAAGCGAATGAGAGCCTTAAAAACGGTTAAGACAATGTTAATTTCTCCAGTTGGTCTTCCAATTTTGGATGACTCGGAAACTAACCGTATGCACTGACGATAATTGTCGCCAGCAGACACTATACCACAGCACCAGGGAAGCACCATAAAGATGCACATGAGAGACGGCAACAAGTCTGTGAGAGACGATTCAACGAATAGTGTCGTCTGCAGCATTCTACACCAGCTGTATAATAAAGGTTGGAGAGCAGAGTATGAAAGTGTACATGGGAGAATATGTTATAAGCGCTACAGGTATGTTCTGTTAGCTCATAGCAATCCGGCAGTAAGTAGCAGAAGTGAGCGGACGACTCTTATTGTGATGAAGAATATCCTGTTGGCTGTATGGTATGATCAGTGAATCATTTTATCGAATTCATAGAAACCGATTCCCTTATAGAGGAATAACCACCAAGTTGATCCTTCACCAGCACAGTGCCAGTTCAACGCCTTATCTACTCATGAGTAGCATTAATAGGAAGCTCTTTAGTTGTCCATTTGTGGCTGGTGTACAAAGTTTAGTAGAAGGCTGCTGGAGATATATTTGCAACTACATCATAGTGAACAGCGAAAACGGTTACCCTCATCATATGGTGATTGCGCAGTACTTTTGTTAGTGCGGACTACTCTTAGGCCTCGGTTAACAGTCTTCCGCTTGTGCACTGCACATCATAATCGCCAAAGATTTTTGTTCGGAAACTATCATGGAAAGAACGAACAACGCGTGCGATAAATACTCAATATTTTTCTCATTTGGTGTCTACTCATTCAATCCCAAGTGCGTACTGAATGAATGGAAAGGAAGAGGACTCGACAAAATCGATCAATAGGGAAATGAAGCAGTCGAGGCTGTCGCCTCTAGATTACACGGATCATTGGGGATTACATTTTCGGGAATTGGTTTATTCGCTTCAGAAATGATGGATGTGCCTTTGCAAACGGACCTCATTGACTTGATGGCAAATTTTTGGTGCAACATACTCTGCTTGGGCCGAACTTTGGAAACAATTGGGGTTATCTGCTCTGCATTATTGAGATATAGTTTGGCATTACCACCTCTTCCAAAACTGTGAAAGGATTAAGTAAAATTTTTAACGCTTTTAGATATTGTATTGAATTGCCTTCCCAGCTAAATCAGTATTTAGTCACGAAGCTGACAGTTATCGCGTAAAACTTGCTTGCATGGATGAACATGAAATTAAACCCATCGTTTGTTGTTCACTTACTCGTTTTACATAGCAGACTTCTTGGAGAGCAAATTAAGCAGTCTAAAGGGTTTATATGAAAACACGCTACTTGAATTACTTCCTACGAATAGCAAAATAAATTGCTGAATTGTACGTGATCTAAACAGTATTGAATATATGGAAAGTTTCCTTAAATTGTTGAAAAAGCGGAACCACGTGACACGTACGTATGTGCAACCATATAGGAACTTCATTACCATGATTGGATCGTAGTAATTGGCCATTCACTGTAACTTCGACTCTCGAATGACAAACTAGCACACGGAAACTCCCCTCTTAGGAGTCGATATCGCATAATTCAAAAGCTACGGACAAATATATCAATCCAAATTGGTTATTTCTACCTGCTATCCTGCTCACCTGATCGACTATGTCATCGTACGTCAGCGTGATACGCGTGAAGTGCGCATGCTACGTGTACTGCGTGGAGCTGAGTGTGGCACTGATCACAAATTGGTGCGGACCAAACTGTACATATATTTTCGTAAATCTATGTTTTGCACTTTCACCGTAAATCGGCGTAAATTTGACATTTTCTCCCTCGGTACTGTGGAGAAATGTATTGAGCTGGAGAAGGCGGTGGCTGCACGCCTGTGTGATGTGGAATGCATAGCCGCGGTAGACGACCTGTGGCACCACATTCGCGACCATGTGACAGCTGCTGCCGAGGAGACCATAGGGCGCGCAAACTGTAAGCGGCCTTGATTGGTTTGATGAGAACAATGCGACGATTGGCGCATTGGTGTGTGAGAAGAATGCAGCATTTGCTACACATGTAGCAGACCCCAGTAATTTGGGGAAGAGAAAGTGTGGGCGAATTCGATGACGAAAGACCCGAGAGCTCCGTCGCATAAAAATTGCATGGTGGACGGAGAAGGCGAAGCAGATGAAATGCTACGCCGAACGTCGCCAACACAAGAAAGTTGTTGACTCTTGAAGGCGGTGTATGAACTGAGGTAGCATCCACTGAGGACGCTAATCGATGATGGTTTAGCCGCTACCTGAACACAGACTGCAGAGATAATACAGATCTGGCGAAAACACTTTGACTGTCTCTTAAACAACGGTTCAGAGATTGACTGGCCTAAATTGAACGGTCTGAAGCAGCACTGTGTGAAGGTGAGTTTGGTGGACACACCGACACTGCATGAGACGCAGAGAGCACTTGCTCAGCCGGTGCCGACGGGATCCTGTCTTAAGTATTGAAACACGGCGGACCTGCGTTGGTGACTGCGCTGCACCACTTAGTGCAATGCTTGTCGATTGAGCAGAAAGTGCCTTCTGAGCTGAAGGATGCCCTTGTGCTACCACTGTATAAGGGCAAAGGTAGCAAGCAATGTTGCACGAATTATCGTGGCATTAACTTACTGCGTGTTGTGGGTAAGGTGGTTGCCCAAATCCTACTTCACAGCCTCGTCAGTCAGGTTGTGGAACCTAACGTGGCGGAAGAGCAATGTGGATTCCATTCGGGTCGCAGCACTATAGATATGGTGTTTGCGGCTTGGCAGTTTCAGGAGAAGTGTAGAGAACGACACCAGCCTTTGTACTCGCTTTATGTTGACTTCACCAAAGCATTTGATACAGTGCACCGCGTGGCATTGTGGCTGGTGTTGGGTAAGTTTGGTTGTCCGCGTAAGTTTGTAAGTTTAGTTGAATGTCTGCACAGTGGTATGCGGGTGATGGTGCAGCTGAGTGGAGAGACCTCGGATGACTTTGCAGTTGTCTCTGGTGTGAAGCAAGGCTGTGTCTTAGCTCCTGTCCTGTTTAATATATATCTTCATACCATGCTGTCTTGTGCTTTTGATGCCGCTTGTGCTTACGGTGTTCGTGTGGAGCACCGTATTGATAGTGGGTTGCTGAACATCTGTCGTTTCGGTGCGCGAACCCTAGTCTGTGAGCCAACAATAAGTATGTTGCCGTTTGCTGACGACTGTGCGTTGTTTGCACACAGCACGGATGATCTGCAGCACATGCCTAGTGCTCTGGCTACGACAGCAGCCAAATTCGGACTCGCCATCAACAAAAGCAAAACCGTCTGTCTCTTTCAGCCTTCACTGGAGGTGCAATCTTCAATACTGTCGCAAACCAGCATTGGTGCTGAAGTATTAGAAAGCACCTCTCGCTTCTGTTACCTTGGGAGTGTGATGTCCACTCCAGCAGCTTCTAAGTGAGCTTAGTATCGTCGTCGCTAAGGTACCGGCGCATACAAGAAGCTAGAGTACCGAGTGTGGAACAACCATTAGGTTACCGTTGGCACGAAGCTGATGGTGTATAAACCCATGATGCTGTCTGTTCTTCTATACAGCAGTGAAACGTGGACGATGTACCGGCGGGATGTGCGACATCTCAAGCCGTTCCATCAACAGTGTTTGCGACGGAATCTACGCATCGGTTGGGGCGACAGACTTGCGGACATGGACGTGTCGCTTAGAAGTGGGATGTATGCAGCGGACTGCATACCTTTACTGAGACACCTGAGGTGGCTCGGTCATGTGAGCCGTATGGATTCGACGCGGATACCGAAGCAGCTATCACATGGTCCAGTGTGTTTGGGGAAGCGGCATGTGGGGAAACCGAAGTTTTGTTACCAGGACATGATTAAAGTGAGCCTCTCACGTTATAATCTTGATTGCGTGTCACGGGAATCGAAAGCGATTGATCGGCGTGCATGACGCGATCACGAAGGCAGTTGCCGAGGTGCAAGGGAAATCCCTCGTGCATGCAGAATAGAAGCGACAATTGAGGAAGCGACAGGCACCGATGGGTTGTACTCCATCGACATCGAGCGCATGGTGCTGTAGCACATGCGGTCGCGAGTACCTGAGTCGGGCAGTCCTAGTGAGCCATGAGCGAGGCCACTCTGGCCAACACCGAAACGACGACGAATCCTGCGGAGAACGTAAACATAACCGCCGCAGCGTTTTATAGATACGCTGGGTTCGATTTACTAACCACGTGCTTGCATGCTGAGTCTTTATATTTTATGTAGTGGGTTTACTATCGCGCCTCAAAGCATGTTTTTTTAAAACTCATCTTCATGTTTACCTGAACTTGCACACGTTGCGTAAGCTAATCGTGGGTAAGTTCGCTAACCTTTTCACCTTCGTGGCATTTTTAAAATATATTTTCTTACCTCTTGCTTTTACCGCGGATTTGTGGGTAACCAATTTATGACATACCCTTATTTCGTGTAGATTTATGTCAGCATTTTCGTATGGTTTATTCCATATATATTATTTGCTATTCTCATTTCATGTGGTTCTCTGTTGTTTGACATCCCCGATGTGGCTGCGCTTGATGTGCATGTTGCCAAGGTGCCTACCTGTCTATTACCCACTACGTCGTCCATACTGGCTCTAGGAGACAGCTGGTCGTTGCTGGAGGGGACGGGGTGCACGGTCCTTGTGGTCGCGCTAGAATCAAAGAGTGGTTCCATGCACTCAGTGTGGAGCGGACTACTGTCCAGCGGCGTCCTTGTGTGTGATTGATTCCCCAAATACAGCGTGCTTGTGTTTACCTGTGAAGGAGTGTGGGCCGGCTCCGTTGATGAAACGTGGCCCCCATCCGCATGCCTCCCGG